TAGACCGCGTGAGGAAAACAGCGCTACCTATGTAGCTTTTTAGCTAGTGTGTCTGTATTGCACACCGCTAGCTTAGTGCTATGTCAGTGCCAGCAGATCTTGATGGGGGGTGGGAGTGGGGGGTGTCATGGACAGTTCAATAGGCAGGGTGCTTGGTCCTGTTGACAGGGCTTGTATCAAGGTCAAGTTCAAGGTTAAGGTTTCTTTATTGTCGTTCCACCACATGTAATTGAGGGTCCCAGTTACATCCAACAAAAGTATAAATTGTAAAAGAAAAACAGTAATAAGATCTAAGATGTGAACTAAGAAATACACTGAACTAAGAATATGATGAATATACTAAAAGTATAATGGTAGGGGAAACACTGCTCACGACTGATGTTGCTCTCTGGCCAATCAAATCTTCAGCTGGACTTGCTTGGACCCTCAGACTAGTAGGTCTTAAAAAAAAGGTGGGATCACACCAGTGGAAAGACTCTGAACCCACGCCCAGATGAGCGGAGCAGGACCCAGTCGAGCCCCTAGAGAAACGCCTTAAAGGTCATGTTTGAAGACATCATTATATCTCCTTAATATTCAAATGTACTATTTTTTATTACAGTATGTTGTTTCAAGGAAAAATTAATTTTGTTCAACTGAAAACTTGCTGCTTAATAAACGTCGAGACATTTAGCGCCGCTAAAAACGAATCCTTTGCATATTTTAGCTCAAGTATCCAAGTTGTGCAGCCGTAGCTGCTGTTTCCCCAGAAACGGTCGTTAAGAAAGCAAACTATGTCATTTAAGTCCAATTAACAAACAGTACATAGAATGTGTACTGACTGTATCTCACAGCTGTAACATTCTCAACACAAGAACGTTTCTCCTCAGCAGAGGCAGAACTCACAGGATTGAAGTGTCTTTATTGTGATTTACTGCGATTAGCTCATTCTAAGCACACCAACTAGGATTTATGGTATTACGATGGCAGACAGACTAGTTTTTCATTAAACTCTACAGTTGTTTTGTTGAACGCCTTGCCAGTTTTCACTAAAACATCCAAAGGCCAGCTGTAGGAAACCACATCAGAAGTTTTGAAAGCTCGAAAAGGACTGCTGTAAATTATTTCCTTTGAGGCTTTACGTTCAGATGAAGAGAAAAGATGGAGTTGTGACATAACTGCTTCAACACAGAAACCCCCAAATGAAACACCTCAGTTGTCCAGTAGGCCCTACAGGGGACACTTGACTGACAGCTCTGGCTCTGATTCCTGGTTAAGTAACCAGTTGACACCTGTGGTGGCAAAGTGACTTGAATATCACCATTAGCGTGCACACTGACTCACCCAAGAGGTTTATCCAAGCGACTGCCCAACGATCCAACCACCTCTCCGAGTGTGCATTGAGCCTGGCCCAGAAAGTCCTGTGGAGTCGGGAAGTGAACGGGTTAAAAGAGCAAATATTTAACAAACACACATGTCTAAACCATAAATAGGCAATAATGACCAAACTCCCTCCTAAAGTTAAATCTCGTTCCAACCGTAAAGGCAGAACAGTAGACGTTATTTGATAAACAATTATTTCGTCTATAAAAATATCTGCTTTTAGGACCTGTGTGAAAATCTGATGATGATTTAGATCATATTTATGCAGAAATATAGAAAATTGTAATAGATTCACAAACATTCAAGCACCACTGTACAAATGTATGTATGTATATATATATATATATATATATATATATATATATATATATATATATATATATATACATATACATACACACACACAGTAGTCCCTCGCTATGTTACGGTTCATTTATCGCGGACTCGCTCTATTGAGGTTTTTCAAAATAAGATTGGACACGACACACAATTGGTTGATTGATGGATGGAGCTGCACAATAGGCATGGAATTTTTATTTAAAATAAATTGTTTTAAATTATTTAGCACCTCCTGCACCTTCGTGCAGCCCTTACTGCAGGATAAACTTCCTGCTGCAGCTGATCAGCTGTTCACCGTGCAGAGCGGAAAAGTGGGCGTGGCCAAGAACGCTTGCAGGTGGCAAAGAGCAGAGGAGGCAGGGAGCTGAAATCATGACACACTGTGATTTTTTAGAGAGTTTAGAAACATTGTTCAGAATATTGCAAGAATGTGGGAAGGGTTTAAAACGCCTTATATATATATATATATATATATATATATATATATATATATATATATACATACACATACATGGGCGTCCCACCCGATCAACAGAACCGAGCACCCTGCCTACCGAACTGTCCACTGAATTATATTTTTACATTTTAGGGCAAAATAAAAATACAAATAATGTAAAGAAGGGAAAAAGTCTAGTTTATACCAGTTGTGATAAAAAAAAAAAAAAGCTCAACTCTGCAGGCCGACATGAGTTCCTTGTATTTGTAGAAAAATTAAACCAGTATTCCACTTGGAAGAAAAATGGCAGAAATTTAAAGCGTGTAAAGAAATTTGATGTTAGTTTAGGTCAAAGCTTTAAAAGGTTGCATCAGTGGGACCAAAGAGCTACACGTGGGACCAGAGCCAGACTCCTGCTCTACGTCTTGTTTCCTGTTTTTGGTGTATTTTACAAGCGGCACTGCAGCGCCACACACAGGACTGGCAGAGTTACTACAGCACTTTATGTTGGTTTCTGTGCTGTTTTAGGAACAAGCAAACAAACCAACAAAAAAACGTACAGTATGTCACACACAGGGCAGCTTTCATACATGCTGTTTGCAAAGACAATAAACAGCTTGTGTAGTGATGGATGTTTGATATACTCATGTTTTTTGGTTACACCACATTCGAGCATAAAACTGTCTTCATCCGGCTCTTAAAAAGAGCTGAAGCCACGAGTTATTGGACAGTGTCTCATTTTGAATCGGCACAGCTCCAAGCAGCGCTTACATAGTGGATTCCCTTGCTTCATTGATTTGTATCATTTCTTCGTCGTTTCGCAGTTTTTCTATGCATCAGTGTAGCATACATTTATCGTAAAAGCAGCATGCAGTCAACCCGTTCCATTTTTCCTTTCTTTTTTTGGTTGTTTTATCCACAATAAGAGACTACAAAAAAATGTTTTTCTTATGATCTTTTCCTCAGTTTATGATGAAGGACAGCAGTAAAATAAATCACCCATCAGTTGCAACCGGCGCCAGCATGAGGTCCATCAGAAAACTGCCTCTGAGCAACTAATGGCTAATTACTGTGTTTAAAAGTAGAAGATGTAGAGTAAAAAGTTCTGCCAGAAGCTATTTTTTTATGCTACAATCCAATATATGAAACTTTGATGTAAAGAAAACAAAGTTCAAACAGATACAGCTCCAAAGACCTCAGCTGGTTCCATAAATAAACACAGAAAACGCTTTACATCCGATTATATATATACAAATACTGTATATACATTGCTCCATTTGGCTTAGACTCTGTAAAAAAAATTATGTGCTTTTAATTAAGAATACGTTCATAATTCCTGAATTGTCTTGTCGACTGAAAATGCTTTGCTTCTACAGCTACATCATGCTTTTTGAGTATACGAGTATTTTCTGGAACCGAGGCAATGATTTAATTTTTTTTATTAGGAGACTCAAATAAGCAGCTTAAGTTCAACATTTATTACCGTTATTAGTCGTTTTACTATACAAAACTGTTTAATGCATTCGTTTCAGGTGAGTCCCTCCATCTGTTCCAGCGTCTTTCAAAAGCAGCTGGCCGTCCTCGCTCGGCAGCGTCGAGGAGTTTGGTGATCGCGTCGCGTGAACCAGCTCTCCAGAAGCGGGTGGTTCGAACTAACTTCACACCCCCAGCTCGATGATCTAACAGCGAGCAGAGCGAGAACCAACACAACCAGCTGGGGCCCAAGACGAGCGCTTCAACAGTGACCTGGCAGGTCTGGAGGCAGGAGACTGAATTAAAACTTCTAATGATGAACATCAGTAGGAGGAGTTATTCCCTTCAACAACAAAATATGTTAAATGGTGATTGAATGCACCTTCAGAGTCACCAGGTGATAACAGGCCAACACAGGTAAGGTCTTTGATTAAAAAAAAATACTGCAAAACCTAAAAACAATCAACAATTTAAGATACTAAAAATACCCCTCGATCGCTTTTATTACGCATTTATTAATTTTGGAAACTTGTTTGTAAATGTGGAACTAAAAGCTTTTCACATGTTTGAAAGTTGTTTTATGTTTTGTCATTAGACAAAAGCAGGAAACCAGAAATGCATTTTAACTGCTAATTAGAGAAACTGCATTTCCTGCGAAAATGCATAAGAAGTAGCCGAAAAAACAGCTAAAATTAGCTAAAAACATGCTGAAATATAGCTGAAATGGAAGAACAAGCCTAAATTAGCAGAAGAAGGCCGAAATAACATATTTGCTGAATAAGCAGAAATTAGCACAATAATTAGGAAAATAGAATTTAAAATAAGGCTGAAATTAGCAAAAGTAGCTGAAAATTAGCTGAAAAGTCAGAATCAGAGTCAGAGTCAGAGTCAGAGTTTCTTTATTGTCATTCGCACCTCATGTGGTACATGTGGTGGAGCGAAATTATGTACACAGGGTCCCAGTTACATCCAACAATAAAATGTATAAGAAAAACAGTAATAACATCTAAGATATGAACTAAGAAATGCATCAACTAAATATACACTAAGCACTCATAACATAAAACATTGAACATCAGCACAAACATGAACATGAGTCTGTGAGCAGATGTGCACGCATGAACACATCAACATTGAAACAGATCAGCAGCAACATGAAACAGATCAGCAGCAACATGATATGGTTTTTCACAGTGATTATTCTAGTTAGATATTCATGAGTCTAACAGCCTCAGGGTAGAAGCTGTTCCTCAGTCTAGTGGTTCTACACTTAATGCTCCTTAACCTCCTTCCTGAGGGGAGTGGGGCAAAAAGTGTGTGTGCTGGGTGGGTGGGGTCCTTCATGATGCAGGTGGCCCTCTTCCTGCATCTGGAGGTGTAGATGTCTGTGATGGTGGGGAGACTGATTCCAACAGATTTCTGTGCAGCCTTCACCACTCTCTGCAAAGCCTTTCTTTCTGCAGCTGTGCAGCCTCCATGCCACACATTGATGCTCGAGCACAGGATGCTCTCCACTGCACACCTGTAGAAGGAGGTGAGGACTGAGCTTCACAGACCAGCTCGCCTCAGCCGTCTGAGGAAGTAGAGTCTCTGATGAGCTTTCTTGATCAGGCTGGTGGTGTTGTTGCTCCAGCTGAGGTTGTCATTCATGTGTACACCCAAGTACTTGTAGCTGGAGACCACTTCCACCGCAGATCCTCTTATGTTCAGGGGGGTGTAGGTGTTTTTGTTCCTTCTGAAGTCCACAATCATCTCCTTTGTCTTCTTCACATTGATGTGAAGGTTATTCTCTCTGCACCAGCTCTCCAGGTGTTCCACCTCCTGCCTGTAGCTGGACTCATCATTGTTTGTGATGCATCCCACCACCGCTGTATCATCTGCAAACCCTACAATGTGACAGCCTGGATGGGTAGCTGCACAATCATATGTGAGCAGAGTAAACAGGAGGGGGCTCAACACACATCCCTGAGGAGAGCCAGTGCTGAGGGTTATAGAATGACGCTTAAACTACCAGAAGGAAACTGAAAAATCTGAAATGAGCTAAAACAAATGTGGACTTAGATGAAGAAGCTAAAAATTAGCCTAAAAACAGTTAAATAGTAGCTGAAAGAGCAGAAAAAACTGACATTAGCGGGAAAAAGCTGAAAGAAACATAAGCTGAAATTAGCAGAAAGAAATTAGTTAGGCTGAAAGTAGAAGAAATTACCACAAATAACTTGAATTTATCTGAAAACAGCTGAAATCAGCTAAAAAGGTATCTGAAAAGTTAGAACAAACAAATTAGCTGAAGAAAGCAGAAAGAACATGTTTGCCAAATTAGGCTGAAAGAAGCAGAAATTAGCAAACAAAAAAAAAGTGGAAATTATCTGAAAAAAGCAAAACATAGCTCAAAAGCTAAAAAATAAATCAGAAAGAAGCTTAAATTACCAGAAGGAAGTGGAGCGAGCACATTTTTTTTCTTAATTAAGCTTAAAAAAGTTGAAATGAGTGCAAAAAAAGTGGAATTAGCTAAAACAGCTAAATTTAGCATAAAAACAGCTAAATAGTAGTTGATATAGCTGAAAAAGCTGAAACTTGCATAAATAAGCTGAAAGGTGCATAATATGCTGAAATTAGCCGAAAGATGTTAAAAGAAGCACAAAATGTAGTTAGCAGAAAAAAAAAATCTGCAAGGGGCACGAAACAACTGAAATTAGCTGAAAGTAGCTGAAAAAGTTTAAATTTGCACAAGGAGGCTGAAAGAAGCTGAAGCAGAACAAAATGTGAAAGGAGCAGTAAAATGTTGGAAAC